CACTTTTTGATCTTTTTGAGTCTAGTCTTTTATGGTGAGGCGTTGACTTTTGTTTTGAGAATACATTGGGTGTTTCAAGGATATGTGGACTTCCTTGAGAACCTTAGGCACTGGTAGGGAGAAAGGTAGATTGTTGGGTGAGAAGAATTTCAAGTTTGTGAAGAAGCTTCTACTCATCAAGGCTGAGTTGAAAGACTAGAATAAGGTTGTCTTTCGTGAGTGAGGACAAGTTAAGACTCTAAATCAGTTATTCCTTCTTGATACAATGTCTTCCAGTAGTTCTCTTCGGGATCAATTTGACATTATTGTGATAGCTGACACTGACTCACAAAAGGCTCATATCCTGAGGTTCCTTTCCACTCCTTTCTAGTGATATATGTTGTTATATTAAAAAAAAACAATTCTGTGCTACCTTTGTGATTGCATGTCAAGGACCAAGGCAGATTTTGTTGGCTGTTCTGGCACATGATTGGACATTTTTTGTTATTCGTTTCATGGGACTGACAATACAAAAATGGTGTTAGACAGTTGTTAACCCAGCCAAAACTATGGGATCTCATGGACAATGCAAACGAAAAATCTGCTTCTCACCTGAGGGACTCTCTTTTTTTTGCTCCCACTTTTCCATCCTCTATTCAATCTAGACATGACCCTTTTACCTACTGTGGTCTTTGTGATCCAGCCTGCCAAGTTATCTAGTCATTCTGCCCGTCCAGATGTGGCCTGTCTATGTTGTTCGCCAGTTCTGCTGCTCAGGCTGATTGGCAATTTGCCTAGTCTGTGCTGCTTGATAATTATGCTAGTTATGTTTTAATTTAGTTAATTATATAATTTATTAAATAATCAATTCAGTTAATTAACAATTAATTAATTTATTTAGTCGAGTAAGTAAATATCTTTTACTTTTAACAACTAGGCTTAGCCTAAATAGTTACTTGTCACCATAATTTCTAATCTCTTATTTTTCTAATTTCTAATTTCTAATGTCTAATTTCTAATTTCTAAACCCATTTACTAAAGCCAAAAAAAAGGAAAATTCTAAACTTGTTTTGGATTATTATAGAATTGTTAATAATTTAATAAAAAATAAGTCCTAATCTCTTTTATGAATCCACAGTTTTTCTGTGAATTGAAATTTTAATTAAATATCAATAATTATATTTGAGCAAACTTTATTATTTAAATTCTGCGCTCTATGTTTTATCAATTATTCAACCTTAAAAGATGATGGGAACAATATCAAAACTATGTGACTTAGTTATTAAAAATTACAAATTGTCATTTAGTTACTGATAATAATGGAATACTTAAATAAATTGTATATGCAGTCTTCAACAAAGTATCCGTTTGGCTTACTTGGTAATTGTACTGTGAGCTATTAAAAGTGCTTAGAGTTTGTTTGGCTGGTTGGTGCTTGTGTTGAGCTGGTAAAAGTGTTTTCAAAATAATTTTCAATAAAAACAGGTTTTTAGGTGAAAATAGTGTAGTGCTTGGTAAAATTTGCTATAAAAGTGCTTTCAATATAAAATCTGGGGTTATATTTAATTAATTATGTTATAAAATTAATAATATATTTTGAAATAATAAAAAATTACATAACAATAGAAATTAATTATTATAAATATCTAATAACAATTTCCATCTCTGAGGGTAGATACGGATTTTTGTCTACCTATTTGGAATGTCCAGATTAGATATAGATAACAGCAATTTACTCAGGTACATTTCTAGTTTTCCAATCCATGATACGACTTCGACCACAGTCGTACAACCAGCAGGTCCTATTAAATATTCTATAGCCACAACAATACTTAACCAAATGTGACCTCTAACAAATATTCACGTCACTGCTCTCGTTAGATTGTACGTCGTCATCCACAGGGAGCTGTCTTCTCACGTCTCGCCAGAA